GAGCTGGACCGCGAGGAGGCCGAGCACTACAGCTTCGGCGTGGAGGCGGTGGACCACGGCGCGCCGGCCCTGAGCGCCTCGGCCAGCGTGTCCATCACGGTGCTGGACGTGAACGACAACGACCCCGCGTTCACGCAGCCGGCGTACGAGCTGCGCCTCAACGAGGACGCGGCGGTGGGCAGCAGCGTGCTGACGCTGCGCGCGCGCGACCGCGACGCCAACAGCGTCATCACGTACCAGCTGACGGGCGGCAACACCCGGAACCGCTTCGCGCTCAGCAGCCAGAGCGGCGGCGGCCTCCTGACCCTGGCGCTGCCGCTGGACTACAAGCAGGAGCGGCAGTACGTGCTGGCCGTGACGGCGTCCGACGGCGCGCGCGCGCGCACCGCGCAGGTCTTCATCAACGTCACCGACGCCAACACGCACCGGCCGGTCTTCCAGAGCTCGCACTACTCGGCCAGCGTGGCCGAGGACCGGCCGGTGGGCACGTCCGTGGTCACCATCGCCGCCACCGACGAGGACACGGGCGAGAACGCCCGCATCACCTACCTGCTGGGGGACCCCGTGCCGCAGTTCCGCCTGGACGCCGACTCGGGCACCCTCTACACCGCGGCCGAGCTGGACTACGAGGACCAGGCGGCCTACACGCTGGCCATCACGGCGCGCGACAACGGCGTCCCCCAGAAGTCGGACACCACGTCCCTGGAGATCCTCGTGCTGGACGCCAACGACAACGCGCCCCGCTTCCTGCGGGACCGCTACCAGGCCGCCGTGCCCGAGGGCGCGCCCCCGGCCACCAGCGTGCTGCAGGTCTCGGCGAGCGACCGCGACGCGGGCCCCAACGGCCGCCTGCTGTACACCTTCCGGGGCGGGGACGACGGGGACGGGGACTTCTACATCGAGCCCACGTCCGGCGTGATCCGCACCCGGCGCCGCCTGGACCGGGAGCACGTGGCCGCCTACACGCTCCGCGCCCTGGCCGTGGACCGGGGCAGCCCGGCGCCCCTGAGCGCCTCGGTGGAGGTCCAGGTGGCCGTCCTGGACATCAACGACAACGCCCCGGTGTTCGAGAGGGACGAGCTGGAGCTGTGGGTGCAGGAGAACAGCCCGGTGGGCTCGGTGGTGGCCCGGATTCGCGCCGAGGACCCGGACGAGGGCCCCAACGCGCAGGTCATGTACCAGATCGTGGAGGGCAACGTGCCCGAGGCCTTCCAGCTGGACCTGCTGAGCGGGGAGCTGCGGGCGCTGGCGGAGCTGGACTTCGAGGCCCGGCGCGAGTACGTGCTGGTGGTGCAGGCCACGTCCGCGCCGCTGGTCAGCCGGGCCACCGTGCGCGTGCGCCTGCTGGACCAGAACGACAACGCGCCGCAGCTGCCCGACTTCCAGATCCTCTTCAACCACTACGCCGCCGGCGGCCCCGGCAGCTTCCCCGCGGGCGTCATCGGCCGCGTGCCGGCCCACGACCCCGACCTCTCCGACAGCCTCAGCTACGCCTTCCTGCGGGGCAACGAGCTGCAGCTGCTGCTGCTGGACCCCGCCTCGGGCGAGCTGCAGCTCAGCCGGGACCTGGACAGCAACCGGCCGCTGGAGGCGCTCATGGAGGTGGCCGTGTCCGGTGAGTGGCCTGCCCGTGGGGGCGGGGGAGGGCGC